CTCCCCGCGGGGCGGGTGAGGGGCCGGGCCCGGCCGTGGGTGGGGCGAGCGGCTGGGCCCGGCAGGGCTGCCCGCCCGGGCCGTGCGGAGGCGAGAGGGGAGTGCCAGTGCCCCGGCCGAGCCACGCCAGGGGCCGTGTTACTATCCCCAGGGCTTCTGCTGCTGTAAGCTAATTAATTAATTAGTGGCTCCGAAGGTCCCCCAGGACTCGGGTAGCAGTAACCGTAGAAGTGCGGGCAATTACGGCCGGTTTTCTTTAGTGCTCATGGATCGCACCTGTCGCTTGAGCTATACCTCATGAGTGCCTTGGGCTATGGTACGGCTGGCCAGGCTACCATACCAGGCTGTGAGGGGCTTCGTGCGCCCCGTTGTAGTTCAGAAGATTCCAGACCCGTCATTTCTGTCCCTCAGATAGCTCTGCCTGCAGTGACATTTAGAGGCTGGGTGGGAGCAAGCGCCGGGAAGCTCAGCATGGCTGAGGCGACAGCAGAATCCTTCAGACAAATTACGCCGTTTTAATGTTTTGTTCTTTGCACACAGATATTTACCCACTTTTTAAAATATTCTAAGAAACTGGATTCTTCTCCAAATTTTCTTCAGAGAGGCTGATGTCATTTGAGCAGGACAATTAAGCCCCAAGGGAAATATTAGACAGGCCATAGAGATAGGATTACTTGCTTCAGAAAGAAGCATCACCACACTACAATGTAATGAAAACGTTACTTGCAACCATTTCAGGATGTTGCTGCAGCAAAATGTATTTTTTGCCTTGATTTTTAACTATACAGATTAACTGCTGGACCTTCAAAATACAAAGAGAAGTATTTTGAAATGCCTGGTATTCCGCTGTGGATTTTGGAGCATGATAAAAAATGGGAAATACATCTGACTACTGCAGAGAGGGCTTGGAGATGATCCCTTGAAAGCACTAGGATGCCTGGCTGCCTTAAAAAGACATTATTTGCTTTGGCTTCTCTAGTAAGTTTTGTGTCTTTTATCTTGATTGTTGTTGCAATGGGGACCCCAAAGTGGATGACTGGAAAGATCCTTTGCAAAACAGGGGCTGATTTGGTCAATGCCACAGATCCAGAGCTGATCAAGTTCATTGGAGAAATTTACTATGGACTATTTCGGGGCGGCAAAATACGCCAATGTGGCTTGGGCGGGCGGCGTTCCAAATTCACAAGTAAGTACAATTTTACTTAAATATTTAGTATAATGTCTAGTTCAAATTTAGTACTTTATTCTTTTTGTTTACAGAACTTTAGAATGCAAATTATTGTTATTAAATAAATATGCAGTCTTTATGATTTGATGTTTTGAGTCTGAATATAAAATTTCTTTTTCAGGAATGCTTTTTGCTACAGTTATATTCTGTAATCCTGGAATCAAGTTGGGGAAAAAAAATCCCTAGGGCAAGATGGAGAGTTTCCTTTTAGCCCTGTGAAGGGGATGAAAGTCATTTAGAGATGTAAATCATACTTTCCCCTTGACTGACTTTTTCCTATGCCAAGTTTTGCTCTGCTATCTCTGTCTTTGCCTTCTCTGTTGAACTCTTCTGAGTTTTTTCCCTTTAAAAAGCAGAGATTTATTTAGATGGACACATTTCTGTATTTCTCTGGCTATCCTAATGTATATGTCTACCATAGCACATATTGCTAGCTTTATTAACATGTTGAAATTCTTAACCCTCTTTTCTATTAAGTTAGGAGACTAAAAATTGCTGAACTCTTAACAAATGTAGAAACTCTTCTAAATGTATTCCTTTTAACAAAAAAAAAATTGTTGAGTTCTTGAGAGCACCAAGCTGTATGCTGGATTTCCAAATTTCACTTCTTCTGTTCTGTAGTGAAAATGCTAATTTGCTTTGAAGATTTTTTTTAGTTCAGTGTACAGATTTACTGAAACTAAATCCAATATGAGTTGAAGCTGTTGCAGTCACCCTCTCCCTGGCCCACCACAATGCTGTCCCGTCCCATCCTTTGCAATGGCTCTAGTAGTTGAGGTGAGGTAGTTCAGAAGTTAAACTGGCCAAAAATTTAAACTATAAAAATAAATATTTGTTTTCCTATATGATCGTGTCTGACTACACAACCACACAAGCATTTCTATAAAAACTTGAAGGCAAGTGTGGCTGTGAGATTTCAGAGGGAATGAAGAAAAGAACCAGAGTAACCTCAACTTATATTAGCATGACCAGTTGAAAAACTGGATGAATTTGGACTGGTCACTTTTACAGTAACCACATTATTGCTCATGCTCTGATTGAAACTGTGACTTCATGTCATGGATATAGCAGTCATGCTCATCCAGTCCCAGTTCTTTCACCCTACCCTGGCTGAGAGAATGAGAAAAAAATAGCCAATCTCCTTTAAAACTCTGTACAACTTTCTGGACTATTTAATGAACTTTCTGATTTTTTTACTGTGCAACCTAAGAGGAAGGCTTAATGTTCCACAGTCACTCTGGAGTACATCGATATGCAATTGGAGGACATGAGCTGGCACTCCTTAGACAAGACTTCTTGCTGAAGTTAATAATAATTCTCTGTTAGAACTGTAAAACATTAAGTGTAGTAGGCACAAATCTGCATTTTGGTCAACAAGTGTTTCAGAGATTTTCCCTTTTAAAAATTTTAAGAACTCTATTGAGTTTGATATTTTCACAATACTGGTTTCAAACAGTACACAAGGCTGTTACTTTTGCACAAGGGTGAGCAGGACTGGGGGTTCTGGGTATGACTTGACCTTTTTTTTATTGTTTGAATGTCCCCCTTAATCTCCAAGCATTCTGAACTTTCTGAGAAAACATTCTGAAGAATGGTGAGAGTTTTCATGGGGAGTGTGATAATATAAATGGACTTCACTGGCACCATAGATCAAGACAAACCTAACGTATCATATGGTGCAGTATTGCAGTGCCTCTGACACCTCAGAATTCCAAATTGCAATAATTTACTGCTATTGTAAATAACTTTACTTTCACTCTGTTAACATTCACTAGAGTAGACTTATGGCTGGCACACTCCCTTTTAGCTGGGACAGTGACAGTGTGAATCAATTGCCATAATAGGTGTCCACTGCCCTTTTGTACTCCTCAAAATGTATCATCTGGCCTCCAGCTGCAGCTTCTGGAAGTGTCCCATCTATAGTGCAGCATGTACATGACACCTATGGGGTTGTTATGATGGTCCTAAGGCACCTAAGTTGGCATAAGATGCTTCTGTTTTGACAATTGAGTCAAGCCTGGGAAGAAGCTGGGGAAGCCACACATTTTGCCTGTGCATAGCAAACACTGCTGGATTGTGTCAGGAGATCCCATGGCAATATCCTTCTCATTGATTCTTATTTCTGTGTACTAAGCCAGACTCACTGGGCAGTCATTGGGACTTGGCTGTGAAACTCAGAAAAGAGGCTAAATAATCCTTACAACTACCCTAAAATCTCTGATGGTTTGTAAGGAGGCTTAATTCCCATGTGCTTTTTTGTTACACTCCCAGTTATTTTCCAGTCAGAAAGCAACCTAGATTTTGGATTCCCATTTCTCATACATACTTCTGATTCTTAGTTACTCCCCTCATTTCTTCTTGTCAGAGTCTCTGCAGCTCTTCTGTGCACCTGGCCCAATTACAACTCAAGAATGAGCTACTGAAATGGTAGATCTGTTGAATCACATCAGTTTTATATGGGATTTGTACAGTATGATTTTTTCCACAGATTATACTCTAATTCTGTCATGTCATGCTCAAATTATATGCCTGAAGTTCATGGTGACCTCTACCAAGTATTGCTGCCCACTTTTTAGGTGGCTTGTTTGAACTTTGGAGTTTTTTGTCAGTTATGCAGCACAAGTAGGAATTTATTTATTTGTTTATAACATAGTGAACCCTCTTTGTAGTAACTTTTTAGTAATTAGGTAGTGAGTTCATCAAAATATGTATGAATGTGCAGTGCTATGCTAGCTGAAGGTCTCCTCTTGATCATCTTGTATTTAGGGTTCGTCTCAATCAGCCTCTCTCTTTCCTGTCAGTCAGCATGTCACTTACAATTCCCTACTCACATTTCTTCTGATTCTGTTACTACAGGGCAGCAGGATAAACTAAACACTTAGGTGTACATTTCCTGCTGCTGGCCAATCTGGCCCTCCTACAAAGGAATTGTGTCTGTGAAGACAGAACCAAGAATATTACTGTTCTCTAGAGACAAGTGAGCAACAGGCTGCTGAGGGAGAGCTTGTGCCTGTAGCAAAACATGGGAGCATTTCACCTAAAGCCCACCTGACTGCAATACTTTACAAGCTTCCTACATCTGTAGCTAAAACACTGCCAGATGCCCAGAAAAGCATAAAGGGGCCATAAACACTAGATGAGAAACCAAGAAGGGAATCCTATAGGGCAGACGTGTGGGATGTACAAAAACAGGGCAGATCTCACTGGAGCCAGCAGTAAAGAGAGGATTAGGGGGAAAAAAAAAGAATAACATGAGAAAATAAACACAGAAAAAAGTGATACTATTTCAGGCAGCAAGGGGCTGAACAAGGAAATGGAGACTATCAGACTCCAAATGGATGAGATTAAAAGCATGAGACAGGAATAAGAAGCTCAAAACCAGGAGTTTGGTACAGAGAACAGAGGTGAAAAAGAGACAGGAAAGTATGTAGCAGACAATACAGCAGCAGAGATAAAGACATTAACACCACTAGCTAAATAAACAGGACTTAAGCCTAAATCCTTATTCACAGATCTTGTGTAGAGGATTATTCCTGTAGCAGAATATCCTTGGTTTGTGTGATGCACTGAAGAATAAAGTATCAGGAACTGAGGTGTGTGCAACTAGCTGAATTCCACATCTCCATAAAAAATAGTCTTCCTTAAATATAAGTAGAATTTGAAGCACCAGCACAGTGTGATGTATACTATCATCAAGAAAACCTATACACTGAATAGTCAATTTATTTTTTCTTGACAGTTTTCCCCCACATGGTGAAAAAGTTGAATACAGGTCTGCATGTGATGATCATAATATTCCTCTGTGTGGCCATTTTCTTTTCTCTGGTCAGTTTTGGATTCTGCATTCTTAACGCAATAAAAGTTCCTTACCGGGCTATTAACGGTCCAGCAGGAGCATGCCTCTGGAACTTCCTTGCAGGTAAAGTAATTTTCCAGTGTTTCTCTAGTCACATTCATAGAAAATGACATAAGTCCCTTCTTCTGCCTTACTAAATACCTCTTTGACTTGTACTCACATTGTACTTGTGAATAAAATGAAGTTGGCGGTGAATTCACACCTCTCAGAACTTCCAGGTGGCATCTTGGCTTATTGCATCTAGTCGACATTAACAGGAGCTATGAATGCCAGCTTTAGGCTTTATGTCACAGATAAAAGTATGTTTGCCCAAAGAATTAAGCTGAAGCATTTTGAATGTGTTTAAGCCATGCCTTTGTTTATCCCTACTCTGTATAATGCTCACTGATGTATTCAATAAGTCTTTTGAAGCACAACAAAAATATGTCTTGTTTTGATTTGATTACAGTGAATATTTATTTCATTTTATTGCAGGTGGATTTGTAGTACTTGCAGTCACCAGCTTCATGGCTGCTGTGAAACTTCATCACCTCACAGAAAGAATTGCCAATTTTCAGGAAAATATCTTTCGGTTTGTTATCTTAGAAGAACGTTTTGAAGACTGTTTTTGGATTTGTGTGGCAAGTGCCACATCACATGCAGTGAATTTGCTGCTAATAGCCATTAGTGGGATTCATTTCCCTAAAATTAAGACTAAAACAGAAGAAGTGAATGTTACAGCAGAAGATATCATGTACTAACAAATCTACACAAAACAATTTTGGTCAAGTTAACTGTTGTGTCAGGAACAGTTTCTTGGCCCTTCAGCCTTTGTTTTGGATAGATGATTTACTTATGTCAGTCTACAATACCGGCAACTAACATATCTGGGAAAAAAAATAAAAACCTGCTATAAATGTCATTATTCTCAAAACAGACTGATATCTGCAGTAAATATATGCTGTTCGTCTGTTTTCAGAAAATTTTCACTTTGGGGTATCTTAGAAAACTAAGGTCAAATATTTCATCAAACAAAATGTCTTCTTTGTTTAGAAAGACAACTTGTTTATCACAAATCTTTGAAACTATAAGGTTATTTCAAAACAGAAAGAATGTGTATTTGGCATTTACTTTCACAGAATTATCTAGAGCATATTGAGGGGGACATATACGTTTGATGATGTTATACAGCATTGAAAAAGAAAACTTCATCATCTGTGAGGCTAAAGTTAAGGAGCAGCAAAGGCTAGGTGTGTGTGTATGAAATGTTTTTAAAACAGAAATCACCCAACACCACAAGGCAAAGAGGTGAGAAATGTAAAGTATATGGGATGCTATTAGTCTAGGAAGAAAAAAATATTAGCTGCTAAACGAATGTTTCATTGCAGCTTCTGGAAGTTAACAGATTAATGGTAATAGTGCTTTTAGATAACCTGGAAAACATTAATCTGACAGATTAATTTTCTTCATAACTGTGTTAATTAAAAGTTAACTCTATGTGAAATCAAGTAATAGTGAGGTATGGTGAAACAGTACTGAAATTAATAGAACTGGCTAAATTGATGGAAAAATTACTTTCTTAGGAAGTACCATAATTTTGACATGGATTTAACCAACTCTTGGGTCCCAAGCAGTGAATATTTTTGAGAAAAGAATATGGAATATATCATTTAGAATGGATACAGTGGCCTACACCATCTCTGGGTTTGGCTCTACAAGGTTAGCAGGATTATGAGTGAAGCAGAAATTTATGGGGTCCTCCTGCAATAGGTCCTACTAACCTGTGTTCTTCCAGACACCCTGAGCCACGTTTTTTTTGTTTGTTTGTTTTCCCCCAGAAGCACTAAAATTATTTTTTAAAATTTAAAAGATAGATTAAAAATTATTATGAGTCTAGAGAACTGTTACAATTTTAGCATAAAGGAGACTCAATAAAGCAGAAAAAGTTCCTATTTTATACCACCCTCTTACTTCATTTTCTTCTAAATTTACTGGTGCTTTCACTCAGACTGAACCCTGGGCCACAGCTCCAGAAAGATGATACAATAGCCAGTACATGGATAGGCAGCAAACAAACCCAGTCTACGAAGGTGTCTTAGATGGTAACAACGTAGTAGTGCCCTGAAAACTGCCCACAGGGTCCCCTGTGGTACCACCACCTTCCTCTCCCGGAAAATTCTGAGTGGCTTTGAGATAGAAGAACTTGAAGTGCAGCATAATTACACAAGTAGAAAATGTAATACTTGTCATTTGTAATTGTTCTATGAACATGTATAATTTAGATGTAGTTACTGTACAGAAAGAATTATACTGTGGCATGTAACTTAGCTTTTACTAAATATATATATATTTAGTATATATATATATATGTATATATATAATTCTCTTCAGGAGGTAAGAAGGAAGAAGATTCTTAAATCCTCTATATTGAGTGATTGCTTTGAAAATGCTTTTCTGTAGTATTAATATGCATGCACTGCCACATATTTTCATTCTGATAATGAGCTGCTTGTTGGCCCCCAAATTTCCACCTCCTTCAAAAATATTGAATAAGAATCATGGGACTATATAGGTAAGGACAAGATTAAAGATTTGTTGGAGTGGATTCCTAGGTAGGTCACAGTAGCTCTGAAAGAACCTGTAGGATGCACTGTATACATGAAGTTAAAGGGGGATAATTGGGCTGATTAGCATTGTAATTCCTTTGTTTGAATCAATTCAACAATGGAGCATACTCTGCAGTAAAGGTCCAAGAGAAGATTTCTCTTACAGCAGACCTATGAAGCATCATTGTGAAATACTGCAGCTGCACAAATTGAATGACCAAATAACATTATCACCCACTGACTGTGTTGTGACCTGTGAGAAAATAGTATTTTCAGTTTAGAGTGAACAGAAGTATTGCCATGCATTGACTAAACTTAATGAAACAGATGTAAGGCTAAATTAAACTTCCAGCTGCACACGTCTGAGTTTAAACACTGTTAAGATACACTGATCGGTCAGTGCATGGAATATTTGCCCTGGTAAATTTTGTCTGGAGAAAAAAAGGTTAAATGCAGTCATACATATTTGAAAAGTACAATTACAAAGCCCTGGGGTTAACAATAGGTAAGTTTATCTCTTGCACCTTTTCAGCTTTCCCTTGTACCTCATAAATTAGTTTTAAAAATATGCAACTTGATATATGTGATCTACTTTATTTACATGATTTTATTATGTTTCACATAGCATATCTGACCATATGCATGCTCAACATGTGGAAATGATACTTCTCTGGGGGCACTTCTTACCTTGGGAGATTTGAAATCCCAGATGAGAACATTTATGACAAATATCTGCCCAGAACTTTGAAGACATTATGGGTCCAATCCTATCTTTCCATAAAATTAAAGACAACTTCATATATCCCAAAAATACCACTTAATTTGTATGTGCAGAATAAAATATATAAGCAGTATGAATGTAGAGAAGCTATGGAGTTTAAAGAACTAAAAAACTGTTCACTGTATCCAAGAGCCTTGCCAAAATAAATGAAGCTAAAAATTAATTATCGCTTTGATTCCTTAAATAATATTACGCTTTAATGTTAAAAAAATTATTTTTACAAGATAAATCAGATTGGATGTAATTACCCTCATTCATTGTTTCTGAGTGCTGCTGTCCTTAATAAAACATGTTATTTGTCTCTGTACCACTTCATAGAGAAAGCTCTGAGCTGGGAAGTGCAATGGACTCCTAGAGAACGGGCCCAACTCCTCCTACACCATGTTCTGCTGGTCTAACAGTATAACCCCACTTAAAGATGTATGGAAAAGCAAACATTGTTATACATATTGTCATAACGTGTCTTATTCTCACCTATTAAAATGAATGACATAAAATTCATGCTTCACACTTCAGAGGCGGGGAAAGAAACAAAAAATATCTGGATCACCTGAAATTGAAGTCCAGTGCATGTTCAGTGCTCTTCAGACTGACAATATAGTAACTGTCAGCAAACTCCAGCCAGTTCTTTTCCGTGCAGGGCTTTTGCTGAGCATAAATCTACTTCTGATATTACAGTGATGACCCCATATTCTGCTGTGAATTTTCCTGACAGAATATAACCAGTCATCCTCATTGCATTGTTGTTTTTTGGTTTTTTTTCATTTACCACGTTTTGATTTTTTTTTGTAATTTCAGCCTGAAATTGTTACTGCTTTCTCGTAGAAAATAACGTGCGTTTGCAATAAAGTTTTATTTTTCTGAAATAATTTACTTTTTAATCTTCGATACGCAAATTAAGTACGCAGTATGCAGACCAGGGCTGCCTAAGTCTGTGATAAGCCCCCGAGAGAAGCACGACCACCCATCTGGAGCATGCCAGGAGAGGGCAAAAAACCCACCGTGAAGCCGAGGCGCCCCTCGCACAAATTCTGGTACGCCACCGGGAAACCCCAGCCCCCGTCCCCAGGGATGCCCGCCCTCCGTCCCGGGCACCGCCCCTCGCGGCGCC